TGCATTCAATTTAACAGCTAATCCTTTACCACGGTTCGCATTTATACTTTTATTCATTTTATAAAAATTTTTTCAACAGATTTTGCTTGAAATATGAGATAACATCCCCGTCCACCAATATAATGCCTCAAAAACTTTCAGGGTCGAGAAAGTCAGGTGTCAACAACTGGGCTCTTATTTGAAAAAAAGTTCTTTTAAGTATGGACTCTATTCACACCTCAATTGTAAATATTTTTTCTTCTACATTTTTTCATAAATTTTATTTAACATAAACTGTTAGAATGTATTAATTAATTTATTACAAAAACACCAACACAGTGAAATTGACGAAAACAGTCATATGATTTTTTTTTGTAATTTATGGAAAATGATTTTCCTTTCAGGTTCGATATATTTTGCTATTACTGTATGAGGTTTTGCATGCGATTTGTTTGTTATTATTATGCATATAACAATATTTTTTTTCGATTAGACGGTACATGTTTTATGGTAATGCTATTTGAATGCTCTAATAAATGTGGTGAAAGACAGCGGTCTGTTATGATAAATTTAAAATTAGTATGTGTATATTAAATTTTGAAAAATAATTTTGCAATTAGTAACAAAATTGAAAAAGAAATAGTATTAATCGAGTCATGAAAAAAGGGTACAAATTCCTATATATACCTATATATCGTAATTACTCCAGCTAACAAGTAGATTTGACTTCAGCTTGGTTATAAGTACCAACCTGTTGGAGGTGAATCCATTTTGGCTAACTTGCACTTAAATAGTCCTCGGATTAAAATAGGAACAAAATAATATGCTAAACCGATTTTCTACTTGAATCGAATATAATTACAACTCATCACAGTTTTTTAAAATATTCCTAACAAAATTATTCCAAAATACGGACACTATTGTTAATATATATATGAAAGTGTATATAGATACATTTAATCAGAATATAATAGCATGATTAATACTATTTTAAACATTATAATATAGCCTGATGTTTTATTGGACATGACCTATAGATGACTTTTGTTTCATTTTTTTCAGTTATGATTACCATGTTTTCGATTACTTATACATACATACACATTTATATTTATTAGGCTAGAAATTATTTAGAAAATAATTATGTGATACATACATCAGTCCTATAAAAATATTGAGCAATGTTCAATATCATTCCATAGTCTTGAAACATTTACCTATGTACGCTCATCACAGGCAAATGTTGCATAGTGTATCTATTCCGTCGTTTAACTTACTAAACTAATGCCATTAAAAGCATAAGTCAGACATATCCGCCTTTGTAAGTAAACTGTTTGTATTTCATTTCGTTCAGTTTTTTTAGTTTTAATTTTTCTTTCTTTTCTCTCTAATAAGAACTACTTTACTTTTTATATTTTTTTATGAATTAACTATTTAAGTTTAACTATTTTAGAACAAAAGTTCTGCCTTGGTAAAAAACGCTCGGACTAAAATTGAGAAAAAAATTATATCGCACCAACAAATTTATAATTATTGTTTTATAAAAATTTTACCATATATTAAATTTAAAGCATGGGTTTATGATCTGCTGAAACATCAATAGGTAGGTTACGTGATGGCAACAAATTTTGCATTTCGAGTTTTCGGTGGAAATGCACTTCTCCATGATAGGCAAGTGTAAATAAACTATTTTTAGCAACCTGTCGATCTGTGTGTGCACTCGTGTATCCTAAGTTCGGCTGAGCCGATTTTGATGAAATTTTATTTGTAAGTTTATTTCGAGTGTGGCACGGATTGATCAACTTTTGGGATATATCAGGCCTGGGGAACTGCACTTTTTAGCGGGCCTGTTTTACATTTTTGAGCATTTTGAAGAAAATATTCAACTGATTTAATTGAAATTTCATACATAAGCTTCGCTCAACCGTCCGCGAAACATCCTAACTTTTGGAAGAAATCAGGTGTCAGCAACTGGATGTTTACTACGGGACAAGTAAACATTTTTGCGTATATAAGGAGAAATAATCAACCGATTTCATTGAAATTTAATATTTAAATTCTTCGTATTAAAACAATGAACACATAAAGATTAGGGCTCGGATTAGGGCTTGGAAAGATTAGGGCTCGAAAACTGATCTACGGGCCGATTTTACATTTTTTACCATATCGTAGAACGAAGTGATGGAATTTCTTGAAATTTGATATTTGAGTTCTAGTTGTTACCGAAACTAACTGGCGAGAATTTCAGGAAATTCGGATAGCACAAAACGAAACTGTACTAAGAGCCAAATTTACATTTTATTTTTGTAGGTATGTTAAAAATAAGCTTACTAATGTCCTAAAAATTGGAAACAAATATTTAACAGACATTTTTATAATATTCTGTAACACTTTCACTTGACTAGACAACACACATTGCGGTCGGTTATGTGCTGACTACATCAGATTTTTTTTGTAAATATTGTGGTTACACAGAATATGAAAAAATTACTTATGTAGTTTTATTTTCAGAAATAACAAGAAATGGGTGGCTAAATATTTTTGAATCAAAATGTTGAACTTGCTTATTTATTATGCTTAAATTTTGAATGTAGGAGCTTTTCTTATCGCGTGCTTATTGATTTCATCATCGAACTGTGCGATTATTTTTCTTTTAGTGCTTTTTCAAGCATTAAACATACAACTTATATTAATTTATGCTCGACCGCATTCGGCATGACTTAAGTTTAATGAATTGAGTTAGCTAGCTAAGTGAAGGGGTAGCGAAAGGGAGAAGGGGAAATTATTTTTAAATTGTTTTGCATTAGAATAATATAAAATATTATAGATAATACATATAAATATATAAAAGTGTGTAAACAACACGAGTAGAAATAAATTGTAAATATAACAAATTAATGGAATCATTATAGTAAAAGGAAAAAGAGAATCATTAGTGGAGGAAAAAGAGATCTTTTTGAAAAATGGTTTACTTGAAGGTAAATAAAGGGATGTTAAATGCACAAACAAATATATCTTCGGCAATGTTTACCTGTCATGTAATATTTGTACGGGTACAACGAAAGAGTTATTAACTTTCATTTAAAACACTTTGTCGAAAATAATTTATGTGCAATTTCTATTTTTAACTAGTATATTTAAAAAGTATTGCAAGAAATAAGTGGAAATTAAAACAAGAATTTTGAAAGTCCAAAAGTTTCAAATGCAAAGCAATAGTTTTTATTTGCAATTAAACAATTAGTTTGCAAATAAAGTTTTGTCTTATTTCTGTTATTAATGATGTAGATTTTTCAGGTATGATATTTACATGCACCTATCCTTTATTTATACTATTGTCCCACATGACCCTATTAAAGTTAAACTATTCACAAAAGGCAATACGTATATAATGAAACTATATCTTTGAGGATGTTTGTTTAATCATGTTCATTTGATTAATTTTAGGTGCCTGATACACATAAGATTCGACTGTGTATGCCTGTTTGCAAAAAAATTTTACCCATGAACTTTCTATGAAAAGTAAAATAAAAGTGTTTTTTTTTTTGAAATTCACTATATAATAAAATTGGATCAAACCAATGGTTTGTATTGTAGCACTTTTCCCTTCAATAAGTGAAAATACTGCTTTGAAAAACAATATACGTATACCTACCTAACTGAAAATAATTTTTCATTTATATACGATACTATTTTTAGGATTGCATATATTTGGGATGAACGGTTTATGCAGTTTTTGAAATAAAGCAAAAATTAATTTTAAGAGGGATTAATATAATGCTCGATTTTAAGGGTTAATTGTGTGAATTAAGAAAAATAAATATTTTAATAGAATAGAATTTATCGTTACCTTTCTGCACTTGTAGAAATTTGAAAAAGCTTGCGGTTTTGCTAATATTCAAATATTCAAATTTTACAAATTTCGTGAAGCGATAACTTGAGAGAGGGTGGAGGTGGAAAAAAATTTTCTTCTAACGAAATGAACTATTTATTAATGTTAAAATTTCTGACTTTTACAACCGGGGGTTTAGGAGAAAAACGACATCAAAAATTTGGAAAAACCGGATTTTATAAAACAGTAAATTTTATCGGACATTTTGTTTTTTTAAAGTTCAAGCATAGTATGCCGTAAATCAGAAGAAGCAATCCACTGCTTTTCTGCGCTTGCAAAATTTGAAAAATGATTATGGTTTCACTGCAATAAATATTTAAAAAATGGCATTTTTAGGGTTTTGGGGGAATATAACTTCTAGAGGGTGGAGATAGGTAAACATTATGTTCTACGAAAATTAGTTTCTAGTGAAGATCTATGTACATATAAAATTTCAGCTTTCTATCTTCAAGGGTGTAGAAGTTTTGTAAACAGACACACGAACAGACGGACTGACGGACAGAGTGAAACTAATAAGCCCTTTTTTTCACAAATTTTTTGGAAAAGTGCTAAAAATGGGAGTGTTTGCATAACATGCTTTTAATAAGTGCCTTAAACGTTTTGCGAAAAAGTGAATAGTGTCAACCAAAACATTGTATTTATAATTACGAAGTAGGTGAATGCAGATGAATGCAGATGTACAAAAAATTTCAATTGAATTTTAAATTTTTTCAGTGTCAGGGTTATCGGGCCTGAAAGTCAGTTTATTCGAAAAGCTTCCGAAAAAATAAAATGTAAACCCGTTTTAAAGTTCAAGAAGCTTCTCATTCTCATCCCGAATGTTTTTCATTTTTATACAAGTTCGTCAAAATATTCATGTAAAATTTAAAATATATTCTTAAAACAATATTACCTATACGAGTATAAGGTTGGATAAATAAATATACCATATAGTATGCCTTAAAAACATATCAAATTCAAAATAATGACAGGAAATAAAATTTATAATAAATTAATACAATTTTCGACATTAAAAATAAAAAAAAAAGTTGTCTTGCAAATAATATTGCAGTAGGTGAACGAACGATCATAGATAAAATAACAACATTCACATTTCCTAGGTCTTGAAAATTATTTACATATTTCTGATAAAATGCTTCCAAAAAACAATTTAGACAATGTAAATCACGATTTTCCATTAGAATTAAATGAGACTGTAGAGAATAGAATACAAAATGAATTATGCTTAACTGGAGATCAAGGAAATACACAAATTGTTATTATAGAATCGTCTTCAAGATTTAATAATAGTAATTGTGATGTTGAAAAAATGAATGAGGAAGATGAAATCATGGAAGAAGTTTTCGAACGTGATGAAATATTTAAACAAATAACAGAAGAACTTGAACGCCTGAAGTTGTTGGACTATGATGAAGAAAATGCAAAAAAATCAAATGAAGTAAGTTCAGTTTTTTTTGTTTTTAATTTTTTCGACTTGCGTACTTGACAATTTAAATTTAAAGTTGTAAGTTAAAATAAAAACATGTACATACAGTATACTCGTATGTATAAATAAATTTCGTTTTTGGCAGCATTTATGAATAGAATCATCTATTTGAAGTGAATAGTTAAATTACGATATATTTGGCTAACTTTCAAATAACTCTACGGTATTTCCTAACCTTAAATTGAAATATTTTAAAATTTAACTTAAAAAAAAGCTAAGCTTTAATTTTACTTTTTTTTAAAAATATTAAACTCATTAAAATTTTAAACTAAGTACTATGTAGACATAAATGCACTCATGTTCTGAAATAAGTTTAATAGAAAATTTTATTACATACATATCTATTTTATGGAAAAATTATTAAAATTTCGAAATTTTTTTAAATAAAATCTTAAATTATAATCCTTATGATATACATCTTGTGTAACTCACTTTCAAATGCTAAAGTGATGATAATCTACACTGTTAAAATAATTTTTATAACATTTTAAAAAATTTGTTTATCATAAGTTTAAGGGAAAGAGGATGAGGTATTATATAATGTAATCTGCCCTATGCTATGCTTTTTTTAGTAAGTATGTTATTCATGTTAGATCAATAAAATTTTTCTGGAACAAGGAGTTCTGTATTAAAGTAGAACTAAGCGTAACTAATAATACCGTAACTTCATGTTTTCTTTCGTTTTACAATAAATAAAAAATAATATATTAAAAGGGAGTCATGTACCTATACATAATGAAAACTTAATCAATATTATTGAAAATGAGAGAACATAGAATGGGGAAAATTCAGAATGTGAGAAACAGCAATCAAGAATTTTTGTGTTTTTATTTAGTTTTTTACTACATTCATTTAATAAATAGGAAAACATTTTTTTTTATATTTAAAGAAGTGAAAAAAAAACGAAGATTCAAAATTATTTTTTCCCTATTTTCAGGACAATTTTCATTTCAATAGGGTAATGTTTATTTAACTTCAATTTTATTTTATTTATTTTCCATTTTTTTCTTATTTATTTTCGTTTTTTTTTTTTAAAACAGCAAAGTCCTCTTTTAGTTATCGATTTCCATAATTTCTATTGATATCATGTTTATTTTCATATGAATGTTTGTATGTACACATGCATGTACATATATCTTTGAATTATAATATATAATAAAAAAAACCAAAGGTAAATTGGCAGCCAACTTAATATTAATATTGAAATAATACAAAGGTAATAACAAAAAAAAGATGAAATATTAAAAAAGAAATAAAAATATTTACCCAAAAAAAAGAAAAACCTGAGAAAAAAAAAATTTTTCATACGTGTCATGGTTATGGAATGAAATTTAGGTGAAAACCCTTTTTGATTTTCTGTTTTTTTTGAAATTTTTTTATTTTTTTTGGGGTTTTCGTTTTATTTTCATTTTTTAAACTTATTATACCTTTTATATGGTGCCGTAACATAAGTTCAGTGTCGATACGAAACTAATTGTAAAGTTTCTATTGATTATAATTTTAGGATATTAGCCTTTTTGTTGCTAAATTTTCATCACTCTCCGTAAGTACGAGTTGTACTAGGTAATTTATTTGTAGTTTAACTAGTAAAAACAAGTCGCACTTGCGGAGAGAACTAAGAGTTCTCAAATATGTACTTACATATCGTGTTTTTTTACGTTTAAAATTCATTAAGAACATCATATCATACTCTTCTTTATTTCTAGAAAACTTTGATATCTGGTGATCTAATTACAATTAATTCTTATATATTTTAGATAAATTCTCTTTTCCCTCAGCTGTCTTGGATTAATTGCTTCATTTGCCTGATTGAAAAGTCCAAAACTTAATTGTTGTTAAGTAATATATGTAGCTCTTAAAAGGTGTGTTTTCATTGAAATATTAATCCTTTGTTTTAGACTAAAACTACATTTTATTGTTTTATTATAATTTTACAACTAACTTATGTTTAATAATTTAATTATTACTTAAACTTTATTACAATACATCACTTTTAAGATTGACGATCCCTTTGCTTCGGATGTTGACATCGAAAGAGATCGGGAAAAAGAAATGGCATGGGTGCTACCAGTTAAATTTATGTGTTCTGTGTTCTGTATTACCATGATAGTGTTGAGTCGATTCAAATTTTTCTCAATCGGCATGACGCTACCTATATAACTGTTTTTCTTATTTAAATATGTTTTTTTAAGAGAATAATTAATTATTGAAATATTTTTTTTGTTTGCAAATAAACTGTTATTATAAACTCAAAAGCAGTAATGTAGTTGATTTTGAAAAATTTAGATAATTAAAATTTTGTATGGAAATGGATTTTCTCTTAGACAACGAATTATAGAAATTTATCAAATTTTCAATTTTTTATTTCTTATTTTTCCGAAACTTAAACTAATTTTTACTACCCATGAAGGTTTTACCATTACGTTAATATTATTATGTTTTTCTATTATCAGATCAACCATCGGTTTCGTCGATTATATAGGCGTATTACATTATATACGCATAGGATGATTATTTATTTTAATTACATGTTCATATTCTAAATATTCTTATATAAATGAGAATTATTGAGGTTAGCATTCGGCAAAGTGTGGCCCATGGACAGAATGCGGCCCATTCAACTTCAATATGCTGTTCATCGTTCTGCTTTGAAGAAAGAAAAATACTTTTTCTTTTTGTAAGTAGGTAATGTTAAAAACTCGAGTGACCCAAAATTTTACCGACGGTTGATTTAGATAAAAGTTTGGTTCTTCAAAAAGTATTCTGTCTTACTCAAGGAAAATATGTTAGTTTACGAGCTTTTGGTTTGATCCAAATTAAATATTATTAAAATTATTTTTATCAATTTCATGCCTATTTAACAAGTTACATTGTTTTTTGTATATTGAAAAGTTATAAGTATGTTTATAAAATTTTTTATTTGCTTTGATTTTGTTTGCGATTGACATAGACATTACATTCAACAAAAACAATATCGCCACTGGTAACATGTATAAATTGTTTTATTAATAAAATTCTAAGAAGTTAATATAATATTTCCTTAAATAAAGAAACAACAATACTATAATGTTAAAAAAATAAAAAAAAGGATAAAATAAAAGCCTCATTATATGGTGTGGCAAAATACGTCCATATTGTATGTAAGGAGAACGAACACCTGTTCAAAAAAAAGTCAAATAAAATAGAAATAAAGAAGAACTCAGTAAAAAAATTATTCAGTTGTTTTCGAGTTTGCGTTTTAAGAGGTCGTTGTATTTATAAATACAAAAAGTGCATGCTTTCTAACTTTAATAAGCAAAACAGTTATTTAATTTTAGTGTTAATATACACGTCGTAGTTGTGCCAGTAATCACTAGTTATATAGTGATTTTAGAATTAAATATATAATACATAATTAGAAAAATCTTACCCACAAATTTTAAATTTAAAATTTTTCTTTATTATTCTTTGAAAAAGTTTACTATTATAGCTTAAAACTAGTTTTCTCTTACATAAAAAAGATAGTTAAATAAAATCAATAAAAACCAAGTGGATTTTAAAATTTAATAAGAATTTATTTATTATTCGATGATAATTATTGTTATTTACGTATTTGTTTATATTATACATATTAAATTATAAGTATTCACGAAATGCAATATCATAATTGACATATAAATAAACAAATAAAAAAAACAACAATATTTCTAATTTAAAACATTTACAAAGAGTATCCTTGATATTAACTAATTTTTAAAAGTCATGGTCACTGAAGAACCAGAATATGAATCGGATTTCGATACGGATTCAGATATCGGAGATTTAGAGGAAGAAAACGAAGAAGAAGTTGAAGTTCATGTTAACAATAAAAATGTAAATAATAATAATGTTAGTGAACAAAATAGTTCAGAAGAAATTCTATCGGATAACAGTAGCAGTAGTAGTATGATTGAAAAGAATGTAAAAAAATCAAATTTAATAAACACTAATAAAAATATTGAAAATCTTAATAGTGCTAGTAAAAACCAAACTCAAACTCAAACATTTGATAATGATGATTGTAATAGTAAATCAAAACATAATAAATTCATTAATGATGGTAATATTAATATAGAAAATAATAAAAAAAAGTACGAAAATGTTGAAAGTTCAAGTGATGAAAGTGCCATTGAATCAGATATTGATGATGGTACAGATATTTCCAAAAAAATAACTCGAGAGTTCGAACAAATGAAAATGAAATTTCATCATGTAAATTTAAAAGAAGTGAGTTTTCCCTTAAAAATTCTTTGTATTATTTCAATGGATTGGACTTTTTATGACTAATGAATACTAAAGTGGATTAATAAATATTGTGGATATTTTGTTTTAAAGGAGTAACGTTTGCATGTTATTTACTAGTAAAATTGCAAATCTGTTTAAAACTTTTTATACAACTTCGTTGTGTTAACAAGATAACTTTTGTCTGGCCTTCTGGAAAACGTTAAAACCTACCATCGTCCTCAAAGGGAGTTTTTTGTGAGCTGACCATCGAAAAAATGATGGAACATTTAAATTTAGTTTAATGACCAACAAGCCGTGACACGCTGTGAAAATGTGTCGATCGTAAGTTTTTCTTTGGTGGAAAACTAATACTTTCAATTTCGCATGGTTTAAACGTTATCAACTCAGTGCTCTACCAATATTTTTTATTTAAGATATGAACTGGATTCTTATGGATTGTTGGATATTTTAAAATTAATGAAGTTTAATAAAGACTTACATTTTGATTTTTAATTTTAAGGCGCAGAAATACTTGAAAGAATTAGGATGATCGACTTCCATATAGTTTTGTGAAGATTCTAATTTTCCTGTACAAAATGTTGTTTTAAAAAATTTTTTAAAAAATTTCACAAAAACCTGTATTTGTTTGTTTGTACAGAAAAACATATACATATGTATATTATGTTACTAACCACTGTTTACAAAAATTTTTAAATTTTTGGGTATAAATGGAATTTCTAATATTTAAAACGATAGTTTGAATTAGATTTAGAATTTGGCACTTAATGGTTATGGAGAAATTTTATACTATAGAACAAACTTCCTAGCGGAACGTCTTCTAACGACGAATTTTTCCTATACACTAAGCTGAAAAAAATTTTTATAGAAGCAAAAATTAATACGTGTAATATTCCTAATAAATATAATATTCTTAAATTAAGTTGGGTTAAACTAATGGCTTGTAATGCAGCACTTTTCTCTTCAACAAATGAAAACACTGCTTTTAAAAACAATACATAGATTATTACTACGTTATTAAATTTACTTTCACTCATATACGAATATATTATTTCAATATAGGGGGTGGAGGTGAAAAAAAATTCTTCAAACGAAATGAACTGTTTATTACTTATTTAAAGTTGTTGAAATTTCAGACTCCTACAGCCTAATTCCAAATATTTGGAAAAAACTGATTTTGGATAATGGTAAATTTTAAAGATAATGGTGTTTTTAAAGTTCAAATGTGGTATGCCACTGTAAAAGAAGCCAGTCACTAATGTTCTGCGTCTACAAAATAAAAAAATGCTTATGGTTTCGCTGCAATAAATAGTTAAAAAATGGTATTTTTATGGTTTTGAGGGACTTCTGAATGGGGGGAAATAGATAAAAATTTTCTTTTACAGAAATAAGTTTCCAGTAAAGATTTATGCTCATATGAAATTTCAGCTTTCTATCTTCAAGGCTATAGAAGTTTTGTAAACATGTTCACGGACGGACGGACGTTTCCGACGAGTGAACGGACGAGTGAAACTAATAAGCACCTTTTCCCAATTTTTTTTTTAGAAAAGTGCTAAAAAGAAAAAGTTCTAGATTATTAGAGGGTAATATGCTTGCAAGTAGTGGGTTTGATCTTAGAAAATTTTAGACAGTTTTTAAATAAGATTTCCACAATATGAAAATACAATTGAAATTTTTAATGAAAACATTTGCTTGTATATTAATATTAATGTACATATAAGTAAATAATTTTTTTTGCAGGATATTGAAATGCAATATACCTTGACTAACCATATTGCAGGCCCACAAAAATATTTTGGTTCATCGACAGATACAAACAATGATGAAAATATACAGAGAACTTTCGAAGTTGAAGTATGTATTGAGAGGCAACCAAGAACATATTCCGATGACATTGGGGAAATGCATCTGCATTCAAAAAATGAAACTGTTTCAAAAACGGAAACAAATAGTATCAGAGAAGAAACTAGTGCTGATGAATTAACGGAAGATACTACGGAAGATGAGAATTTTGATGAGGTTGACCAGCAAAATGTTGAAAATGGTCATATTAAAGAAAATAAAAAAGAATTTGAAGGAAAGGAAATTATTGAAGAAAGTAAGATGGCCACAAATGATCATTCCAATAATAAAGAAGAAAATGAAGGAGAAAATATTTCAAATTTAACAAGTCATTCTCAGAATTCATTGAAAAAGGAAAATACTGATAATGGTGAATCCAAGCAAGCACAAAACGTTAATTCACAAGAAAGTATCAATTCTAAGGGTAAATTAACAAGTAAATCATTTACTACTTTAGAAAATACTCTAAGTGATGAAGAAGATTCAAAAATTGAACTAAAGAGCAGAAATGAAGAAGATGTAGAAAACTTCTCTTTAGTTAAGAAATCCCCAAAAAGTCAGAATGGAAGTTTTTCGGTGGAAATTTCTAGTCAACGTCCAAGTAGTTTTAACTCTGAAGATTATCCTTTTGAATTAAGTTTCCGTAATAATAAGCGGAGCCTTCCGGATTTTCAGACAAGGTAAATTTTTAATTAATAATCTTTCACGCATATAGCAATTATTACATCAATTTTCCAAATATACGACCGTAATCAATTTTCTGTGTTCTATATGCAACTAATTTCAACATGAAAGTTTATTTTGTATCTCTAATTAAAATTTTTCAAAAATTAATGAAAAGTATAAATTTGATTCTTATTATATATTTCCTTTTTGGAATTTTAATTTTCTTGGAAATTTTCTTAATTCGTTCAATTAGCAAATTAAATTCACATAGGAAATTTCAAGAAGTTTGGTTAAATAAATATCCCCTCTCTTTTATGTAACATTTAAAATCTGGCATCAGTTGGATTTCCGAACGCTAAGATCCCTGAAACATTCTTAATTTATTACTTTGATTACCAAAACCTTAATGATTTCCCTATGCTTGCAAATTTTGAAATTGAATAAACTAGAATTTTCTTTTTTTAAAAAGGTTTCTTCATGTTTAATTACAAATTAATTACTATCATTTTTTTACAAATATATGCTACCTGATATACAAACATGAATTGTAATATGAAACTCTTAAATTATAATATTATCCTTAAAAATAGTAGGCATAAGTGTAGGCGGAATTGCGCGTGGAGTTATGACTTATAACACATGCATATATGAGGGGGTCAGAAGCAGAGTGGCGTAAGCCACAATGTGGATTATGCCATTTTGCTTTTTAAAAATCATAAAATTTTTACAAAATCAGAAAATTTTTACAAAAGCAAAAGTACTTTTGTGAAAAATAAATAGGAAAAAAGCTATTTCGAAACTGGAAACTAATATTACTGATTTTAGAAGATGTACATAACCAATTGCAGCAAAAAAATTTTTTGCTTTATTTGTGGCTTTCGCCACTCTGATTCTGAGACTCTCATATATGTAAATGTATTCCTATAGAGAAATTAATTTCTAGGATTTTCTATCAGAACATGACATCAACATTTTTGATAAAAAAACGTTATTAATGCAGTATTACCTAAAATTTTAAGCGCTTTCTAATCCAAGAAAAAAAATTTTAATTTCAATATTATTTCTGTAGTTTTAAAAAAGAATTCTTGAAGAACATTATAACTAACCCAATTTTTGTAACAAAATTAAATATCAACAGTTATTCACTTCTCGAGATCATAAAATTTTCTAAGAAGACGATCAAATATAAACATGACATGTTATACACTTTTGAAATGAAAATGTATTTTAGTTTTCTTTTTATCGTTTCGTTTAAAGTTGAAAATGAAACATCTTCACATATTCATTTCCACATTTGATATTTAAATGTTCATGTTGGTTGTTTTCATACAAGTGATAGCGCACTTTAAAAATATTTAAAAGTAAATAAGTGAACTTATTCAGTTGTGATTGATACTAATTCCAATTGGAAAAAGTGTATATTTTATTTGATATAGAAAAATATGTTAAAATTCTATTACTATGTACAACTGTAGATAAGACCCTAGATTTGACTGCAAAAAAGAAACTTTACAAAATTTATTTTTCTCTTTTTTATATTTTTTAGAATAATAAATCAAAATAGAAATTTGAGTTTTTCAAATGAAAGAATGCGTGAAATTGATCGAAGTAATCAAATTTTATTAAAGAAAATTTTAACACAGAAGTCTGCATATGAAGCACGAAGCTTAATAGGAAATAAACAAAAACAAACAACACTGTATAAGGTATTTTAATATTGTATAAATATTTTATAATTTGTTTGTATTGATATAATATGCTTGTTCAAATTTAATCCAAAAAATTGCATAATGCATTATAAATTAGCTGTACTACTTCATCTTTAACACTATATATACATACATTATTTTTATTTTTATATATACATACTTATTATTTCTTAACAGAATAATAGGCAAACAAGTGCTGCAATCAATAGAAAGAAGCAACAACGCCAAATTGAGATGGATAATCAAGTTCTGAAACGAAAGCTTGAAGCAATCGCCTATAGAAATCCTATGCACTGAAAAGTATTATAAATTATACCTAGTTAAAATAAATATTTTTTTTAATTAAAAATTTGTGAATTTTTTGTAATGAGAATAATAAAATTTTTAAAGGAATGATAATGTCATAAACTGGGTTGCAGTTATTAAAATATAATTATGAACTAAGAAATTGGTAATTTTAACTACATAATCCTAAATTCATTTTTGTTTGAAGTATAATTAATATTAGGCTATTATAGAAACACCCTTTAATTTTTTTTTTTAAAAATTTTTACACTCAAATGTTATACATAGAAATAAAAAATTACAAAAATTTTAAATAGTTTTATTAAATTTTTCTAAGTTAATTTTATTCAAAAAAAGTTTTGAATTACTCTTAATTTTTAGTTTTAAATAGAAGTAAATATAATATTATGTTTTAACACTACACTAACGCTTCAATAAGCGTTGGTAAAAATTTTGTTAAAAAATAAGTTTCATAATTTAATGCTTTTCAAGACACAAGGATTTTTAAAAAATTTTATGAAATCTAAACATTGATTTATGATATTGTATGCACTATATAGAATCATCCTGTATAATATTATTAAATTTAATCTTTGAATGCAGTAGGAATATGTAGTTTTATCCAATAAAAGTTATATCATATAATCATATTATCATATTATAGCAAAAAACAAACTATATGATATAAGTGAAATTTATTATAATTTTTTTTAAAATTATAATAAATTTCTAAACTAAATTATTTTAGTATAATTGACCTGACCAGTGGTTATTATGCTGGTCCTTTAACTGAAGGGTCTCGGGTTCAAAGTCCAGTCGGGTTACTATAATAATTATATTCAATATTATATAACTCTGTACATTACATATGAAAATAAAAAATTAATATTAACTAATTGCCATATTTTAATAATACATTTTATTTTGTAAAATATTAAAAACGTTAAGTATTTAATATAAAAACTACGGTAGAATCGTCACCTACCTAGTAAACTCAATAAGAAACTGGTTCATGGTTATCTATAATATCAAGTAGAATAAAAAAAAATAGTATAATTTTGCATTTCATTAAAGTTTGCAATAACTTAATGCAAAATTTCTGTTATACAACGGAGTTTGAAATTATTTCATTTTGATTGATTTAAATTTTATTTTGGATTTTCCATTGAAATTCAATTACTTCATATAAATATATATTTGAAAGAAAAGGTCAAAAATATTTTTGTAATAATTATAAATAAACGTTTATTTAGTATGGAGAAATGTTTTTTTTCTTTTAAATAGAAAATACGGCACTATCTCCCAAAAATATGATTGCTTATCTTAACTCACATAATTAGATTATCAAATCGACCATAAGTTATGTTAATGCTTTTTTTATTTTTGTTTTCATCATAAAAACCAACCATTAAAAATAACTTATGGTACAATATAATTTTGGTATTACATATTTTCTATGTAATAAGTTGACAATTATTTAAAAAAATCTGATGTGATCAGCACATAACCGACCGCATTGTATATTGTCTAGTTAAGTGAAAGGGTTACAGAATATTATAAAAATGTCTTTTAAATACTTCTTTCCAATTTTTAGGACATTAGTAAGCTTATAGTTAACATACCTAGAAAAATGTAAACTTGGCTCTTAGTAGAGTTTCACTTTGTGCTACCCGAATTCCCAGAAATGCTCGGTAGTTAACCAGAGCTCAAATATTAAATTTCAAGAAATTCTATCAATTCGTTCCGTAGATATGGTGAAAAATGTAAAACCGGCCCGCAAATCAGTTTTCGAGCCCTGATCTTTCCAAAAAATTTATATGTTCATTGTTTTAATACGAGAAATTCAAATATTAAATTTCAATGAAATCGGTCAATTATTTCTCTCTATATACGCAAAAATGTATATTTGGCCCGTAGTAATCGTCCAGTTGCCGATGCCTGATTTCTTCCAAAAGTTAATCGGTTGAATACTTTCTTCAAAATGTTCAAAAATGTAAAACAAGCCCGCTAAAAAGTGCAGTTCCCGAGGCCTGATATATCCCAAAAGTTGATCAATCCGTGCCATGGTGGAAATAAACTTACATATAAAATTTCATCAAAATCGGCTCAGCGGATCTTGAGATACACGCGTGCACACACAGACCGACAGGTTACTAAAAATAGTTTACTTACACTTCCCTACTATGGAGAAGTGCATTCCCACTGAAAACTCGATATGCAAAATTTGTTGCCATCACATTACCTATCTATTGTTTACACAATACGGGCGGTAAAAACGAGAAAAAATAGAGTTGACCTTGTCAACTCTGTGATACCCGTACGAATTTGTTATCCTATGTGCGAATACGCCATAACTGACTATGGGACGGACTATGACTTTAAGTTGCCGTATAACCATATTAATTTATGCAAAATTTCAGTACTGTGTTTTTTAAAATACTGTGTGTGCCAAACTACTGTTGAAGTTGTATGGCAGCTACCAGAAAGAGCCAAGAAATTTTAACGAATTTTGTCAAGCACATCGGACCTGCTAATATATTTGCTTGTGTGAAATATCAATATTACAACTTTTATAGTTTCTGATATAAAGCCAAATAACTTTTGAAGTTGTATGGCAGGTACCAGAAGGAGCCAAGCAATTTCAATGACTTTTATCAGACACATTAGCCCTATTGATATATTCGTGTATATGAAATTTCAATACCATAGCTTTTATAGTTTTTGAGATATAGTCCAATAACTTTTGAAGTTGTATGGCAGGTACCAGAAGGAGCCAAGTAATTTTAACAACTCTTGTGTGACACATTAGCCCTACTAATATATTCTTTTGTGTAAAATTTCAATACCACAGCTTTTATACTTTCTGAGATATAGCCAAATGAATTTTGAAGTTGTATGACACCTACCCGAACCGGATACCCGACCATATTCAATTTAAATAGGGTTCTGGCACTTACTACAATAAATAATTTGTGAAAATTTGGTGAACTTAGCTCAATTAGTTTTTGAGTTATCGTTGGGACGAACGGAAGGACGAACAGACAAAGCTAAATCAACTCAGAACTCGGCGCTGATGAAAAACATACACTTGAATCTATATCTAAGACCGTTATTTCTTAGTGTTACAAACGGTGAGACAAATTTAGTATACCCTTCGAACATACGTTCGTACGGGTATGAAAAGTATTTTTACTTGATCAAAAGAGATGTGTTAACTTACAAATAATTGCAGGTCGAAATTTTTATTTTTTGGTATTTTCGCAAGAATTTTAATAATGAGAAGAAATCATAGAAAACTTTTTAAAATGCCAATGATTAAGTTGTTTGAATCACTGTTTTTACTAATTTTTGAAACAAAAGTTTATTAAAATCAGTTCTAATTAAAAAAAAGTAAAAATTTGTGTTACATTACATTTGGCACACCATTAACTTTTTCCATTGGTTCATACTAAAAACAAGTGAAACTGACAACTCTGGAAAAGCTTTTAATTTTTTTTGAAAAAACGGAGAAATTTTTTTTTTCATTTTAGACATTTCGTACTGACTATGCGCTACTTTTAAGTTTTATTTTTTTTTTGTTTGTTCATAATGTTTACCATTATTTCTCTACCAAATTAATTATTGCGGTGAAAAGGGCATATTATTTTTGAAGGCACTTTGACACTGCGATAGTAATAAAAAAAATCCTGTAATGTCATTTAAAAGCAATTTTTGTTGTCAAATGTCGTGTGAACTTCTAACGGTATAGACGAAGAAAATATTCGCGGTATTTACGGATTAAAAGAAAGTTTCTTTTTTTATATTTGTTGGATTGCAAAAGGAAAATTTTTAAGAAAAAATTATTTAAGATTTATTGTTTCATTTATAATTAAATTTTGTGTTCATATTAAAAAAAGTTAAATCAAAAATATTATAAAAATTTTAATATTAATATTAAAGTTTGCGATTTAAATATACAAATGCAAAGAAATAAAGGATTTTCTTTTTTATTGTGTAGAATATTTCGAAAATTTATAAAAAACTAAAGGTGTGATAATGAAGAAAATTTATGATATGTATATTTTTTTTGTTTTATGTACATGAAAAAGGATGTACATACATTTATGTATACATACTTACAAGCTAAAATTTTACTTCTTGTTGTTGATATACCATTATATTGTAGCTGTTGAAAGTATATAAGTTTACTTTGATGTAAAACTGATATGCGGAAATGTGTATTAGACTGATGCAAAAATAACTTTGAGAAGCTTTTGATTAAATTTTTTTATTAACGAACGTTAAGTAAAGAAGATTTTAATCTTTTCATTTATCATTAATCCTGAAATCAATAACTAATTTATTTTAAATACAAAGAAGATCTTACATCAAAAATCTTCCTAATTATCAACAAAAGCAGTTAAATGTATGCAGTAAATATTCGTGAATTGTCCTTCTCTACAATTTAAAATTAAATTTGTTTACTATTTTGATTTCAGATCTAAAAGTTTTGTTTATAATTTTAAGTAATTTCAGTATAAACAACGAGTATATTCCATATTCTCAAAATACAACAAAAAATTGTGTCAAATTTTGTATAAAATTAATAGCGATTTTCTCGACGCTTTTATGGTTGGCAAAAACTAGAAGGAACTTGACTTGATATTCGCTAAACAAGAGTTCTTTAAAGTTATTCATTATATATATATTATAAGTTTTTTTTGTATAAAATTAGGACAAATTTTTACGACAAAATGAAAATTTTTGCATCAACCTAATATTCAAATACTTCTGACATATTTGGTACACATTCTGAATGAAAAAGAAAGAAAATTAAAAACTGTTGTAATATAAGAAAATCGATTTTGGCATGGTTTCAGCATTGAAAAGCATTTTTTGTAAACATTGCAAGAAGAGAAATACTGTATTCGCTATTCGGAAAAGTAATTGTGCTTAGAAGAATATATGGAAAATCTAAAAACTATAATCAAAATTGATTTAATTTATTTTTTTTCATATTCTTGGAGTTTTCTTTTTATTATCACTTATGAAAATTATGTAATAAGAAAATAAAGAGATGTAGTTACAAATCTTTTTTATATTACATATGTAGGTAAACAACAACGAACAAAATAAAGTATTGCGAAAACAAAAAAAAACGGGAAAAATAAAAAAACAAGGGAAGAAAATAATCGGAATTAAAAGGACTTGTCAATAACCTTTTCTCTTTTCGTTATGCTTTTGTATTTTCTTTTTGTTCCATATGAATCGTTATTAAAAAATTAAAGATAATAAATATTAGCAACAAATATGAAAAAAGAAAGTTATTTAGAATAAAATTGGTATAATAACATTGAACTTTGAAAAAAGCTGAAGGCATGTACATTATTATTGTAAACTTATCGAAATGGTGTTAAGTACAGAATGGTCACAAGTCGAAGTAATCGATTTAGTTAATGATGGTAATGGTCTCGGTTTTATGCTAGTTGGCGGTCGTAGTACTGGAGTTGTTATAAAATGTTTAATACCGGGTGGCGTAGCTGAGCGTGATGGTCGTTTACAAAATGGTGATCATGTCCTTCAAATTGGTGATGTCAATTTACGTGGTTTTAGTTCAGAACAAGTAGCATCTGTATTAAGACAAGCTGGTTCACATGTTCGTTTAATAGTTGCTAGGCCAATTGAGCCAAGTAATGTTGACTATCATACGTTGGCAAGTCATGCACCGGTTGTACCAACAAAACTACTGTCAGATCCAGATGAATTGACACGGCACTTATTTCAAAATGCCGCATTTGCAGCCCAAAGCTTTTTAACGGCAACTGTTGAAGAAGCAACCGCTGCCGTTGTTTTACAAGATCGTTTAACACCTCATGCAGCGGCAAGTATATTACCGCCTTTAGATTTAATAGCAGCATGTCCAGCATTACCTAGTGATATACCAGTGCTATCCCCCATAATACCAATCATATCACCAACATCAACTCAAAGTCCTTCTCCGGTTGACAATTATGCTAATACACCGGAAACGGAAACTTATGATGTTGAATTAAAAAAAAATGTGTATGGATTGGGGATAACAGTGGCTGGATATGTATGTGAAGAGGAAGATCTCTCGGGTATATTTGTCAAAAGTATCATAGAAGGAAGTGCCGCTGAAATGAGTGGTAAAATTCAAATTAACGATCGAATTGTTGCCGTTGATGGAAAGTGCTTAGGTGGTGTCTCAAACCATCAAGCCGTTGAAATTTTACGTAATACAGATATTTGTGTTAATTTGACATTAGAGCGGTTTTTAAGGGGTCGAAAATATGAGCATTTACAGGTAGCATTAACGGATGCAAATAAAGAAGTTTGTTCACAAAATTCAGTGCCACAATCACCTTCAATAGCAACTTTATCATGGGTGGCTGTAAAATCAGATGCGGATTCTGCAGTAACGGAAGAGATTGGTGAAACCCAATTAGACTATGAATTAGCTTCACACACAACTTTGGACTCAAATATATCAATGATGTTAGAAAATTATTGTGAAAATAATGTAGATGATGTTAAAAGCGAAGAAAGTGATCAAAGTAACAGTGAAAAGGAGAGCAGTAATAGTCGTAGTCACCAAAATAGTAATAAAGGTGATGATAGAAGTGGAAAGTTCAATGTTCAGGATGAAGTGGTCGAGGCTACAATAGTTAACCATAAAACTCAAATTTTTCAAAATAACTTGAAAAATGGTCAGATAGCAATAAAAAAAAGTGAAAATAATATGTGCTCTGAAACAAATAGTCCCCAAAAAACAGAGACGAAACATATTGTACTATCGGCAACAGCTAGTTTAAATTCTTTGCAAAGAACATGGAAAGATGAATGTCCTGATAGCGATATTATTGTCGCTGAAATCAATAAGTTATCAAGTTTAGGTATAAGTCTCGAAGGTACGGTAGATGTTGAATGTGGCATCGAAAAGAGACCCCATCATTATATACGTTCTATATTACCTGAAAGTCCAGTTGGAATGAATGGTAGACTGAAACCGGGTGACGAAATATTACAAGCAAACGAACATAAATTACAAGGTTTAAAACATACAGATGTTGTAAAAATTTTAAAAGAACTTCCATCGCAGGTGAAATTAGTATGCGCTCGCGGTCCACGAGCACCATCTGTCATAAATACTTCACAAAATCCGGAAGCATTTGAATCGCGTAGCTTATTACCGGGTGGACATCAATCATTACAAGGTTTCTTAACAAAGGCACAATCAGAAAGTTCACTATATACTTCTAGTACTGCTACCCTAACCGATCAACAAAGATCGAAAAGCCTTGAACAAGTTTCCGGTCTGGCATTATGGAGTAGTGAGGTGGTTTACGTTGAAATTGAAAAAACTGAATTTGGTTTCGGGTTTTCAATTTTAGATTACCAAGATCCTTTAGATCCGGAAGGCACTGTAATTGTGATACGTGGTTTAATACCTGGCGGTTCAGCTGAAACAACAAATCAAATATTTCCTGGCGATAGATTAGTATGTGTAGAAGACATAAGCTTACAGGGTATAAGTTTAGATGAAGCTGTTAGTATATTAAAAGGTATGCCAATTGGTAATACTAAAATAGGATTATGTAGACCATTATCAACATCGGATAACAATATTGCATCTCCAGCGGATTCAAATAGTACATAGTCTATGCTTAAAGGTAAATAATATTTTGTGGTTACAATATTGCTCATTTTGTTAATTACATAAAAAAGAAGTTTATCTGTATAGTGCGATGGGTACCCCTCGTACGTTACAATAGTACAGTAAAATTTGATTACAAAAAATGAGTGTTACATTACATGTATCTCAACAAATCAATACTTTTGTACGTTTGATCTAAGTACATATATGTAAAATTTATAGATCAATTTAGAATTCATTTTAGCATTTATGAAGTGAAGTTTTTAAGAAAAAAACTTAATTAAAAATAAGTTTAACTTAATTAAAAGAAAAATAATTTTAACTTAATTAAAAGAAAAGTGTTTTAAACTAAAGTTTCGAAAAATTGAGGTGATTTGTCCTTGTTTACTACGCTAGCTAAATTCTTACTCTTAAGAAATATGTCCACAAGTTAAAACAGCAGACTGTTTGAAAATTTAAAATCTTATTAGGGTAAATATTAGTCTAACTAAGATCTCCAACGCTTGCAGAAGAAATAACACACAAAAGAAAATGAAAAAAACAACAAGCGGCAAAAAAAAAAAAATGAAATTCTGTACATATTATATTGCATTCGTATCGTATATGTACCAATTTTCTGCACAACTTATCAATTTTCGTTTTAACAACTACCTTACTAAGAAGCATGAGCGTGGATATAGTATTGTTATTCTTCATATTGTTATTGAAGGTTATAATGTAGTTATACATTTTCTGGAAACTAAATTAAACCAGCAAAGAAATTAGTGTATAGGTTATGGAATGAACACTTAGTTTCTTAATATTTCTGGAAAAGTGTAAATTTGGCCTTTAGTAGAATTTCGCTTGGTGTCACCCGAACTCACTGAAAAGTTTATCAGTTAGTTTCTGTAACAACCAGAACATGTAAAACTTAAAATTCAATAAATTCCAACAATTAGTTCCGTATAGATATGATAAAAACGTTAAATTTGCCCCTAATTCGGTTTCCGAGCCCTGATTTTTTAAAAAAATTTATAGGTTTGAATGTAGGAATGAAATTAAGTTAAATTTCAAGAAAATCGCTTGACTAAATTTTTATATACGCAAAAATTAAAAATTCTCCCAAAAAAGGATCAGTTCTGGAGGTCTGATATATCCCAAAAGTTCATTAAACGTGCCATAACGGAAATAAGCTCATATCAGAAACTTTAGCAAGTTTAATAATTTTTTAAAGTATACATGTATGTCTAATAGTATAAGAAAACCGATAATCAGAAAAATTTGTTTAAAAAAATTAATCTTTCATGCCATACTTATCGAAGACGCGTGCTTCTGGCGCCCTCAAACATGTTAGTAATATGTTACAATGCATCATGTTGATTTACATCTGATATGACAAACACAGAACCGACTGTTCGACATTGTATAGTTTAGCTAAAATGTTGCATACGACTACGAAAATACCTTTTAAATACTTGTTACAAGTTTTAGGGAGGCTAGTACACTTTTAGTTAACATCAAAGTATATCTACTAATAAGTAGTTCGACTCTCCGTTTACATCACACTAATGCAATCACTCACAAATATTTGTATACAAAAAATTCGTTTACCTAAAAGAGTTAAGCAGTATACCTTCATATTTTCGTTTTTATACACATAAGAATTATTAGGGGATGTATGGAGATACGCAAATTAGGATTAGGAGATACGCAACAAATGTCTACCTGTTTTTTATAATGTATTTTTAAAAGCGGGAGTTATTTATTTTGAATTACATATATAAAGTATAGGAAAAAATATTAAGAATTTTAAAAGCGCGAGTTTTATTTCTGTAACTTATTCCAGTACAAGGTGGCAGAAATGATGTATGCATATTATAAAAGCGAAGCAATTTAAAAACAAAATTGACTATTAAAATAAAAAAAATTATAATTTACATATTATATGTACATATATAATTTAAAAAGACAAAAAATATTGACGAAAAAATTTGTAATTAGTAATTGTCATTACATTTATTGTAATACAAATTATGAATTTTTTATTTCAATTTTGTTTTAAAAATTTAAAACAAATATTTCTTATGAATATAAGTACATACATACACGCGTATCGGTAATTTTTTTTATAAATTGCTTAATTTCTATGCCTCGTCTACATTGCGGCTTGACGTGAAGTCAGCTCGAAACTCAAGCTGCGCTTTTACTATGTTAGCTTAAAAGTCCAAAAACCACGTTTAGATATTAAATTTCAAATCATTATTAACATTTCAAGTCAAGTAAGCGACTCGAGTGAAGCCGGCTTCAGCTCAAGTAACGTTTATATAGACAATAATAAGCTTGAAGCAGCCATATAAACGGGGTACATACATATTACTACATCATATTGTGTATATACCTTGAATAGTTATGTACCGTATAACAAAATAAGAAATTTGAAATTTATAACTATTACTTTAACACATTCGAATGTTTTTACCTAACTTTTATGAAATGAAAAATAAAATACGAAAAAAAAAAATTTTGTTATCAAAATAAAAATAACACATATTTTAGCTAACTTAATTTAATTTTATTTCAGTTAATTTAATTTTATTTTTCATACACTCGTTTGTTTACAATATTTTGTTTCTTTCTTGCCTACACAACTCTTATTACCATCTATGTATTTCTAAATAAAAATGGAATATTTTAAGAATTTGGAAGCAAAATGCAAACGAAAACATCATGCTTAGAAAAATATAAATTTAGCTCTTGTCAGAGACTTACTTTATGCTCACCAAATTAACTGAAAAGTTCGTCAGTTAGTTTTGATAGCAAACAGAACTTAAATTTTTATATGAACATATAAAAACATTTAAATATAAGGTGATTAATTCGAAGGCTCTTGTTCAAACAATAAAAAATATCAAATTATCGTATCGTTATTTCTAAGTATTTCTAAAGAGTTGTTAATTAAAATTATAAAAATACAATGGAGAAGCATTTTAAAGTATACTAACTTGACAATGAAATTGTTCTTAGAATTAATAGAATTCGTGTTTGATTCGAGTTATTTTAAATTTAATGGTAAAGTTTATCAACAGCGATGGGTAATCCAGTTAGCTCTTCATTTGCTAATTTAATAATGAACTACCTATAATGAAAATATATGCAGATGATTTATTAATGGCAATACCGAAAGACAAGGTAGACGCAGTGTTAGAAGCTTTTATTGATTTTCATAATAGAATAATTTTTTTCGGAATCCGAAAAAAACAATAGGCTTGAATTTTTTGATACGTTATTAATAAGAAATAATGATGGAACGATCTCCACAAATTGGTACTTGAAACCTTCTGCTTCCGGCAGAATATTAAATTTTCTGTCGCAACATCAAGTTCAACAAAAAAGAAATATAGTAAGAAATATGTTAGATAAAATCTATTCATTAAGCTCTGAGGAATACTTAGGAAAGAACATACAAAAAATTAAAGAAATATTAAAAAATAAAAATTATCCAAAATTTTTAATACATCACACCAAATTTTTAAAATTTCAACATATTTCTGAAATATCGTACAAAATCAAAAATGTTTCTAAACCACATGTGCAAAACAACAAATTCATTTTCTATAACAAAAACGTAGTACACAAACTTTACACAAAACTTAAAAATAAAGAAGACAAAATAAATCAATCACACTTATTATATAAAATAAATTGCCAAGAGTGTGTAGCGTGCTATCTAGGACAAACAAAACAATATCTTAAAAACAGACTAAATCAACATAAATATGATAGTACTCGTAAAATACCAAACATTAATAAAACAGATAAAACAGCACTAGCACAACATCATTTTAACCATAATCACACTTTTAATTTTAAGGAAACACAAGTAGTAGACAGAGAGAAAAATTGGTATAAGAGGAATATAAGTGAAATGGTACATATAGAATTTAACAAAAACAACATAAATTATAGAGCAGATACAAATAACTGAAATTCATTTTATAAATCTGCAATTATGAAATTTCAAAAAACTAAAACAGGCGGTAACCCCAATAGAATAAACAACAGATTAAAACAACGAACAGCTGATTCGTGATATTTTTATTTTTATTATAGTTTAAATTTAAGAGTCTAAATTTGTTCCATTTACAATTTGTGTTAATTTATTTTATTTATATATTTATTTATATGTTATTTATTAAAAAAGAATAACTGACGATTTTAAAAACTTTATTAAATTCATTTATTCGGGCTATTGAGTTAGTACATTATGTTAAAATCAAATTAAAATTTGTTCAATAACTTAATGTAAAAATACATATAAGAAATGTATGACATATTGTAAAAACATTATTATCATATAAATTATTATTTTAGCCCTGATGAAGATTTAAAATTAAATCGAAACGTTGGTGAAAAGTTAAAGAACATTGTTTTATTTGCCCTACATCAGACTACACAAAAAAAATTTTAAATGTACATAAATATTATTTTTTTTGTTATAACATAATATAAATGCATGTAATTAAGGCATAACTTATTTGGCAACTTAAGTTTAAGAGTAAAACCGAACAAAAAAAACTCATTTTTGAATATTACTTTATTTTATATGCGTTATTATGATTCATGCACGAATTATATTTCTTTGCTGATTTTATTCATTTTGCAGAAAATGTACAACAAAACAATAATTAAGAGTAAATTATACATAAATCGCTTTTGCTGCGTTACAGACTCATTAAATCTATTACCCTCATTATGATCGGCGAAGCAAATGGTTAGGCGAGTCGAATGGACTGGGCGAATAAAATGATATTTTAAATTATGATAGGCGAATTCTTTCATTAGCCAGATTCAAAATTTTGCTACCGCAAGACATCAAAAACCTACCGAAAATTATAAGGTTAACACCAAACATATGTACATTGCTTTTGCTTTCTTGCAAACAGTTGAATTGCTGCAGTTAAATTTTCTTATCCCTTTAGCCATGTCGAAATTGTTCTCTATTAATTGAATTAAATGCTCGAATT